TGAGTGGCGCCAGATCGAGGGCCGAAGGGCGGCCCAGGGGATTGGGTGCAGACGACGCGGACCCCGCAGGGTAGCTGTGCCTGGCGGAAGCTCGAGGGGGCCAGCGAAGCTCCCTCAGGCTCTCCCCGCTGTAGGACCCCGAGGACGAGGCCCCGGATTCGGAGCTGAGGGCACCGTCCCGCCGGCGGGACAGCGAGTCCAACGAGTGGCTCTTCCTACCTGTCCGAGCAGCGGCGGGCGGAGGTCTGGTCCTGGCGGGGGGACTAGGTGAAGTCCTTCGAGTCACCCGCGATGCGGGCGAAGCCGGGAGGCTGCTGCCGCTGCTGCAGCTGCTGCTGCTGCCCGCGCTCAGCGCCGAGGCCGAGGCCGGGGCCGGGGCTGCAGCCGGGCCCTTGGGTGTGAACAGGCGTCGTTTCTCCTCGCGCATGATGCGCTCGCGCTCGGCACGGCACTGCTGCAGCTTGGCGAGCCGCTCGGCCTCATAGGCCTCGTACAGGCCCGTGGCCACGCGCATGGAGCGGCCCGGAGCCTCGCGCACCAGGTCGGCCAGGGCCCGGGGCAGCAGCTCCACTGGCTTGACCGCACAGCGGGCACACGCCTCCAGCGAGCGAGGGCTGGTCAGGACATAGCGACTGCCCTCAGCCTCCGGGCAGGCGAAGTTGAAGAGATCGAGGTGCAGCAGCGGGGACTGCTCCCGACGCCCACCTTCTGCCCCGCAGGGGACTTCAGCCTTGCGGGGCGCTGCGGCGGAGGCTGAGGCCGAGGAGGCAGCAGGCTCTTGGGCTCCCTGGACATCGGGGGGCACGGACGCTGTGGCCCCATCCCCTTCTGAGCCACCAGGCTCCGCTCCCTCTTTCTCCTCTTCTGGCACCGGGTCCACCATAGCTGAGTCTCGTCCTTTGTTGGAGTCCCTGAGATGACGGGGAGGGGGACATAGAGGATTGCATCTGTGAGCTGTTTCTCTCTCCTCAATCAATATTTACCCATCGCAAGTTAATCCGATTTCAGACTAGGCTCAGGGGCCTGATGGAACGTAAATCCTAAAACCCATGCCCTGAAAACCCGGGCTAAGCAGTTGGGGGTGGGGGTAGGGGACGCTGGGGCTCAATCAGCCACCTCAGTGTTCCTCAGTCTTAGAACGCAGGGCCTGTGGGGAGACTACATTGATGTTAGGCCCGCTAGATGCATCCCCTTCCTGCTAAGACTGAGGCGCAAGGCAGCAGCCAGAAAGGGAGGCGCTGGAGGATTCCCGGGAGGATTAGCTATTTGTTTGTAGCTTAGGCGGGCTGCTGGGATGCAGCTTTGCAGGCACACAAAAGGGGAAGGGGCCTGTTCATGTCAAAGTGCATTGCTATGAGGGCCCCAGTTGCCTAGGAAGAAGTTTATGGTTGATTTCCCTTTGCCAAAAGGCCCCGGGGCGCAGGGCCCCTGGGAGATGGAAGAGCTGAGAGAAGTCTCCAAAGGCTCCTTTCTGAGTGGAGTGATGGATTCTTTCTCCTGCCTCCCCGGTAGAGCTGAGAGCTCTGCCTGCTTCTTCTTCCAGCCCCCACCAGGTGTTTGCCTGGGATGCACAAGGCACCTGCATCCGACCAGATGCGCCCCATCTCCAAGACTGAATGAATGTGCAGCTAAGGGTACCATCAACCCCAGCATGGTGGACTCAGACACCAGCCCCAGACACCCACCAGTTCCTTCACCGCATCTCAGAGAAGTGGGCTCGTAGCTCTGTAAACCCTGCCGCTCCATGCTGGGAGCTGCTAGGTCCCCGGGAGGGTTCACTTACCCCAGGTCCGGGCTCCGGCCCCCACGCCGAGGGCTTTTGTTCACCTCTCGCTGTTTTCCCCGGCGCCTCTTCAGTCCCTGCGCCGGCGGGGTCGGGTTACTGCCGGCTGCAGCAGCCAGCGTCTCTCCATGGGGGGATTACGAACAGGGCGCACACATCCCAGATGCTACCTACCCGGAGGAGGGGGGAGTGCGACAAAGTCTCCCCAAAATAACGCGGCTCTGCTCCCTTGCTTACACTGATTCTTAAAAAAGGAAGCTGGGTTCCCTCGCCGCTGCATCCATCGCCACCTCTACCGCCGAGGTACCGCAGGTCTTTCTCTGCCTCTGGCGCCTCCTGGTGGCCACTTAAGCGTGTTCATTTGTTTGCTTAGAGGAATACAAAACAACTAAAATACAGTAACTACACATTTATATGCATATGTAATACACATATACAGAGAGGTGTGGATATAGCAATATCACTAGAAACCTAATCTTTGGGCACCTTAGGTGGCTGGAATAAAGTGGGTGAAATGGAATATTTCTCAAAGGGATCCTGAGAAGCAAACCAACTAGACATCAAGCAATTGGTTAGAAATAGGACACCTGATCCAAATTGTAATTTTATTATTTAAGGAAAACAAAGATGGGAGAACGAATGGGAGCAAAGTATAATGACACATACATATGAAGATGTCATTACTTTGTATACTAACCTAAATTTAAAAAAAGCCAAACAAACACAACAAAAACACACATATGGGTTTGAGGCAGGCAGAACGTAAGTGACCAATGAAAGCAACTTCCGAATTGCTGGTTTCATGTGATAAAACAAGTTAGTACCATTTAATGAGTGCTGTTTGCTGACACCTCAGCCCACCGCTTCCATTTTGAGTGGTAGTGGCCAAAGAGATTCCAGATTAGAATCCTCCAAGGAGAGGAGCGTGGTGTGGTGTAGCATCAGGGAGTGTGGTGAACTGTGCTGTTGAAGACTCTGGCAGGGAAACTGTAAGAAGGGGGATATGAGCCAGGAAATGACATAGATATATTTCATGTTTTAAGAACATAACTCTAGCAACAACAAAATGACCAAGGAAGCCCAGTTAGGGAGGCACTGCAGTTACCCAACACGGGGAATGGAACCAAAAAGGGAGCAAAGGCAGGAAAAGAGGAGTAGGGGTTTTGTAAATAGAAAGGAACAACACTCGAAGATAAGGAAAGTAAAGGATGAAGGATGACTGCCTGGAACAGTAAGATGCTGTGTGTGTCATGGAAGGACAGTGGATCTAGGGGGAGGAGCACCTGGTATGGGATACCGGTGCTGGACAACTGCTCCCCCTCAGTCAGAGGAAGGCTGTTCAATAGGTAGCTGAGAAAGTCATATATGAGGTCTATACTGGAGCTAGATTGAGGATATGTCATCACCAACGTAAGGTTCCTGTGCTGACTAGTTTTAGAAACTTGACACAAGCTAGAATCATTTAAGATGAGGTGACCTCAAACTGAGAAAATGTACCCCCAAACTACTCTGTAGGCAAGACTGTGTTGCATTTTCTTAATGAGTGATTGATGTAGGAGGGCCCACAATTGGGTGGTTTCGTTTCTGGGCAGGTGATCCTGAGTAAGCCTTGGGGGAACAAGCCAGTAAGCAACACTCCTCTGTTGCTTCTGTATCTGCGCCTGTCTCCAGGTTCTTTCCTTAAGTTCCTGCCCTAACTTCCTTTAATGATGAAACTGTGATGTAGAACTGTAAGCGGAAATAAAATCTTTCCTCCCCGAGTTGCTTTGGTCATGGTACTCTATCACAGCAGTAGGAAGCCTAAAAAAGATAATATGAGTGAGGTCGCCCAGAGAGGAAAGATGCATTGCTAAGAGGACGTTGTTGAAGGAACTTCAGAGAAAAAAAAGATGTTTTGATGAGACCAGTAAGGAGCAGAAGGGGAGTGTGCTGTGTAGGCAGAGCACTCAGAAGAATGCCAAGTGCCAAAGGCTACAGAGGTTCACATGGGTTTCTTCTGGAATCAAATAACCAAAGAAACTGACACTTATCTGCCTTGGGTAGCATTGGCAAAAAACAAAACCAAACAAACAAAAAGGAAAAAATAAACCAGTATGTTGTGCCGGGAGCAGATGACAAAGCACAGTGGTGGTTGAGGAAGCGGGAGGTATTGATCCTTTTGACTCTTAGGTGATGATGTCACGAGCTGTCAGGTTTGATCTTTATCCTACTTACAAGCTAGCAAGTTAGCCTCCAGGGTGCATAGATGCTGGCAGAAGACATGGTACTCCTGGGCCAGAAGCAAAGCACTTTGTTATTCATGTACAGCAAGAACAGGAAGTTTGTTTTTTCTTGATTGGAGAGTGGGACCAAGTAGACACTGCACACAAAATGGGCATATGTTACAGTTGGGGCGCGCTAATCTTTCAAAGTGGACTGTAATGTTTAATTTTTATCATCTTCGTTGGACTTACTTAGAAACACCTCTAGGTGTGTCTGTAAGAGCATTTTCAGAAAGAGAGGACCCAGTCTGAACGTCGGAGCACCATCCCATGATCCGGGGGCCTGGACTGAATGAAAGACTGGAATGAGAGGTGGGGGCGTGTCTCTGTTGGTAGAGAGCTTGTCTGACATGCACAAAGCTGGGTTTGAGCCCTAATACCGTATGAAACCCTGCATGACTGCACACTGTAATCCCAGCACTCAGGAGGTGGAGGTCATCAGAAAACTCAAGGCTATTGACTCAGAGGCTAACCTGTGCTGCATTATAAAGACCCTGCTGTCTCAGAAAGGGACAGAGAAGGGAATGTGAGCTCAACACCCATAATCTTACATTTGTGCATCCCTGTTTCCTGACTGTGGACACAATGTGACCTGTCCCTATGCCTTCCCATCATAATGGACTGTTGCCCTTTTCAAGCCATGAATCAAAATAAGTATTTCCCCCCCCCTTAAGTTGCTTGTTTCAGATATTTGGCCATAGCAATGTGAAGAGTAACTAAGACAGAAGCTAATAGCAAACATGGTCTTGCTTTGTCCCAAGGGAGACATTATTTTAGTTATCCCCTCGGAGCTGGGGGAAGCCGCTATCTCTGTTGTTGAAGGATGCTTGGTGAACAAGCATCTGTGCGGCAAAGTCTACAAAAGTCTTTATAAGACATGAAGCATGAGATAGAAAAGGAGTCATTGATCAGATGACTAATAAGAGGTGGGGCTGGGGTTTGGATCAGGATCTGTCTAATTCTGAAGTGGGTGCCATGCTTTGTACTTCCACACTAAACTGAATCTGGAAGGATGGTAATAAGTGGGGTGGACAAGTGAGCATATCCATGTCTGGTTGTTCCTCTGCAGAGAATCCCATTAAATTATCTTTCAGAACTAGAAACACTATACAAGCAAACATATTTTGAATGAGCAGTGGTAAACACCATTTATTTTGATTATTTTGGTAAACCACGTAGATACGGTCAAACCAACAGGAAGATGTGTGTGTATGAATAGATAGATAATTATATATATTTATATTATATATAATTACATATATTTACACACATCTATATACATGCATACACATACACACACACATATATAAATTAGCCTTAAATTTGTTGAGAATGCCCTGGAACAACTGATCCTCCCGGTTTTACCTTCCAAGTGCTGGGATTACACAGAGGTGAAGGGCTGGTGTCATCACAGGGAGATTCCCTGCATGCCAAAGATCAAGAAGTTACACCCAGTTTCATTGTGGCACATAGTAGAGAAAGCACCACCCACATGCCCATGGTGGTAACACTGTAATGGTGAGGGAAGGTGGACTTAAGAGGTGGGTAGGTCAGGTGCAATTCTACCAGCCTGTGTTATTTCAGGCAATTTTAAAAATCCTTTTTATTTATGGTGTGTGTGTGTGTGTGTGTGTGTGTGTGTGTGTGTGTGTGTCTTTGCAGAGGCCAGAAGAGGTCATCAGATCCCCTGAAACTGGAGTTATAGGCAGTTGTGCCCCACCCACCGCACACCATGCTGGGGGGAAGGGGACCTGAACTCAAGTTCTCTGGAAGAGGTGTAAGAACTTCTGACCTCCGAGTCATCTCTCTAGTCCCCTGACAAGTTTTTTTTTAAACCCCTCTGACTCTCACTTTTTTTTTTTACTCACATCTTCTTAAATGCAGATTTATTTTGCCTTACACCAGCCCTTAAAGATAACTTATTGGGTTCTTTCTTAGGCTTTTTAATGCAGTAGTTCATTAATTTAGACTAAAGCAAAAACAAATCCTCCACGCAATGTACACATTATTATCTTTATTTCAATTCTTTTTGCCGTCAAGTGTGTTCATCATCCCGGCACTCAGGAGTTTGAGGCAGGAGGCTTGAGGATTTGAGACTGCAAGACCCTATCTTAGAAACAACCAATGAACAAAACCCCTAAATTCCTCCCGTTGGGCCTCCCTCTTCTGTCTTGGCTCCATGCACCCTACCCTACTCATCCCCCTATCGATATACTCCTCTTTCCGGAGAAGAGGTTTGGTTTTGCTTTTCTTCACTTTGAGGTTCCACGTCAGGAGTTAGCTCAGTTCGTTGCCAGTTTTTGTAAATCAGGTTTTACTGGAACCCAGTCACACGTATTTGTTTACAGATTGTCGGTACTGCTTTTGTATGGCAGAGGCCAACCTCAGTGGTTTTGACAGAGACCTCATGACTCACAAAGCTCTAATTGCTTATTATCAGGTTCCTGGTGGAATTGTTTCTCAACCCCTGTCCTAATGACTGACAACTGCTCATGTCAATCATCAACTTACAGCTCCATATCGACCCTGCTGTACCTGTCCTGGAAAAACAGACTAAGCCCTTCCCACTTGGCAGTGAGCCTCATGTGCAGGCTCCCCAGGGGAGGGAAGAACCAAGGCAGTCATGGGGCTCCTGCTTCTTCCTGGCCACTGGCGCTTTCCTATTCTTGCTACCTGACTAGTAATACAGAAGCATGGGAACTTCCTGTGGCACTGTCCTCCAAATGAACCCCCAGAACAGCCCCTTGGTGTTGCCTGAGTTTAGGGACCCATGTTCCTTTGCCCTCCTGAGGTAGACATTGCCCGCCCTAGGCCTTGTGTCTTGTTCTAGTATCCTGACTGTCCAGCCTCAATTCACCTCAGTTCTAAAGACAGTTTCCTCCTTGCGCAACAACTGTGGAATGACGTGCATCAGGCAGACATCTTTGCTGCCTCAAAGACTGCAACATCGCCTTCTCCAAGAAGGCCTGAACCACAGTCTTGAGGAAGGGTCTTCCTTTCGCTGCCCTTCCTTGAGCACCCAAGGCGGAGAAGG